TTTTTTTTTTTCTAATAATTTCTTAATATTGAAGGGTGGTAAAGTTTCCTTTTTGCTGGTTTTATGTTGCTTTCTTCAATGCTAACCTATGTTTCATTTTATATATTATATATAACAATATTTATACGATGAATTATGAATTTGAGTCACATGCAGAAAAAACTTTTACTTGCTTCTGGCACAGATAAAAAAACACTTTGGCTTTTTGCATCTAAGAAAGGACTGCAATAAAAACACCACACTAGTAAATGGCACTAGAATTGCTCTCACTTGTGTCACAGACTACTTGTGATTAAAAAGCATTTGTCCCTCTTCTCTTCAGTTTCTTGCTGAGATCTCTTGATTTGAGATGAACACTTGGACAGACATTGTATGGCATGGCTGGACTCTATCTTATACGTTTATTTATGTGTTGCTCGTGGTATTATTATATAAAAATTAGATGATTACGCAGTCAGCCAGGCATGATTGACTAAACTAATCTATAAAAAGGTAATAAATTCAACAAATAGAGTACGAAACTAAATCAATTTGTTGGTATTGACAGTGAGAAGGTTAGGAAAGAACGTATAACGCTCAAATTTAGGTCCATATTTGTTCATCGCTGTTACCTCCGTTATAAATTTTACTAATCATTAGTTGGTACACTTGTAATGGAGTAGCGACAATACGCTGATGGCACCACAAATTACTGTTCATTTTCTGCCTTTCTCATCTTCCCCATTTTCTAACTTAATAGAGTTCACACTGATACCTTGGTCAGGGTATAAGAAAAATTCTTGAGTCTATCCTGAATTTTGTGTATTGCCATCTAAACCAGATTATATTCTTTTAAGTTTAACTGTAGAATAGTGTCTTTCACTGCTGCAAATACAAATCTGATGTTTTCTGTATCTGTAAGAGAAAAAAAAGTGTAAACATTTATAACTTACGAAGTTGAACACAACAATAATATAGTTATTGAGTTAATTGAGCAAAAAGCCATTAGTAGCCATTAAAAATTTTTTAGAAATGTTAAAACTTTTAATAATTACTATTTTCCATTGAAGAATATATAAGTAAACTTACCAGGGAGTAAAAGATGAGGATAAGTTTAGAATTGACACATGCGACGTGCAATTTTTATTTTTTTATAAAAATTCATAAAAAACACCAACGCATATATAATACATAATTCATATTGTAGGAATCATTAAACAAATTAATTATATTGCATAATGATATATTTAAATTAAATAACTGAAGCACATACATTTTTAACAATTTCTATAATCCTTATCATTAACAAATGATGATTTTGAAAGTAACAAATTATAGAAGATACAATTAATTGCAGAAGTTTTACAAAAGTATATATAAAAGGAAGGAAAGCTGTATGTAATATAATAATTATCACATGCCATTAAAGAATAAAGTTCCACACTCCCACAAACATGAAATATACACTGCTTGAAACAATTAGAGAATGTTATTATGAAGAATTTTGTTACATCGATCAAGCAAATAGATAGAAGGAAATCCTATAAGCTTGATAGATTGAAATGTTATTCAAAAACATGAACTGGTTATAAAATCAAAATGAATGGAATATGATCTTTTAATTGTTTTGGGCGGTACATTAATGTTTTGTATATTTAACTGTGCTTTGTTAAATGAATTAATAAGTTAAAGAAATCTACTGTTGAAAGAATACATACAATCCTTATTAGCACTTTTTTCAAACTTGTTTAATTAAATTTAGAAACTTAAGAAATTGCTAAATTATAATCAAACAGTATGTGCAAATAAATATGGTTTGTATAATTCATGCATTGAAACTTTGTGCAGAGCATAGTATTCCTTCCCATAACTTTATGATTGGCACTTACAAATTAAAATTAAATACAATTATGAAATTGGCCATACTAATCTAAGTCTTTCTACACTCCGTTTTGCATAATTAAAATATATTTACATTTTATGGCCATTATTTCGAATTTTGCTAAATAAATTAAAATATTTTCTTTTACTATTGAAATAAAATAGTATTACTAAAAAACTATTTGATCCATAATACTAATAAATCAAGTTTTTTTTTTCAATACACTTTACTTCTTCAGTTACAATTTTGTTATTATGATTACTTCGTCAAAATAATTCCAGAGAAAAGAGTGGCAGTCTTAAAATTTTACACTAGTATATATATTATTCTATTTGATTTACCAACATTTCGTTAAACATTAACAGTCATTTTATAAAAAAATCTGTATACATCCTCGATAAAACAAACACGTTATCTAAATATCATATATAAATGAAAAAGTTGTCCATTAGGCAAGATTAAATTCTTTAAGTGCAGTTTGCATAATTGTATCTTTAACAGCACAAAATACAAGCTTAATGTTTTCTGTATCTGATGATTAATCCCATAATTGCAGCATGCAATAACAAAACACGTATCAATGTTAGTTTCAATTTTAAATATCAAATCAGACAGAAAATCAATCTGATGTCAAAAATATATACTTAAATCATTGTCTTAAATTAATAATAAACACAACAGTATATAGACTGATTTTCTTAAGGTAAATCATTAGGATAAAAATTACGCACCTGTTGAAGAATAGGCAACATGCAAATCATCTTGCACAACATACATAATATTAAAAAGCAAAAACAAATGCACATTAGCATCAATTATTAACAACCTACCTGTAGCACACGTAAAGTGTGAATATATAATTTTCTCAATATCTGGATTCAAGTCGACAAACATCTGTAAAATGAATTCTCTAGCAGGTATGGCATCTCTTTGTGGGCCTGTGAAATATATAAGCAAGCATACGAATTGACATTACTTCTATTTATATTTACTCAAGCATATACTATCGCTTTTTTCTCTCAATTTAATTATATACATTGATGGGATATTATTTTAAAATTTCATTGAAATCAACTAAACAAGAATATTAATTAACATAATAACATAAAATTACAAGATTTATATTATCTATAATAAAATATATTTCAAAACATAAAAATATGTGTAACAGAAAGGTAAAATCAAAATCAATTTCAACTATTTATACTATATATATAATGCACATCAAAATTGTACACAAAGAATAAAGAGAAAATTAGATGTAGAAATTGAAAATTATATTATAGTAAAATAAAAATGCTCTTTTTTTAGATATTAAAACTATTGTTAAATTTTTTTTCATTTTATCCGTTTCACCAAATCAATAAGGTTTATATCTAAATCCAATAAATGCTGAAGGACAAATTATTCAATTAGTTCTATTAACTCTCAAAGAAACCTTTGTATTAAAGTATTACCAATCAAATAAATCTATTACATAAGTTTAATATATGTTTTCATTTTATTAGATTACGAGAATATACATTTTAATGAGATTATAAACGTATAAATTCTAAAAAATGTTTATGTAAAATTCGTTACAAATTAATTAAAATAATGTAATGTAACCAAATCTATTTCTGTATGTAAATTGCTTCGGTTTTACTGAAAAATTATATTATTTGTTATTAATAAGATATTGAAGTACTGAAGTACGAGCTGTTCTATAATATGGAAAGGATTCTATAATATAGAAAGCTTCAAAAATACAATTACGCGACTTATAGTTACTGGCTTGAATTAAAAGAGTATCTACAGAACGTCTACAATTTCTGCCACGATATGTTATACTTAAACAGACCTGTTGCACACGTAAAATGAGAGTAGCACATGCGGTCAGGATCGGGATTCGTACTAAGATACACCTTTAAGATGAATTCTCTGGCTGGTACAGAGTCCTGTTTAGGCCCTATACCATAAAACTTATTCATTTACTAATAATAAACTGAATACTATGTTCCAAAGCGATATGAAATAATTATAAATCTTTGAATATATTCATTTTTTATGTTATTTTTTGTGATATTTATTTCTCAAGGGGATAAAAATGATTTTCATTAAATATTGTATTAATTTGAAAGATAAAAAGCCGTTTTCATCAAGTTTAATAAATTTTTATCAGTTTTAATAAATATAAATAAAATTTCTAGAAATGTAATATCGATTGAATGTATTTTATATTATAATTTATATTTATATTGAAAATGTAAAAGACATAAATTTATTAAATACTTTGAAACATGTACCAGGAATATCAGTACACGTAAGGAATAATTGTCTTCATTGAGTCAAAGTGTAATTAAACATAAATATAACTCAAAAAATCAATAATATATTAAATATTAACAGAAGTTACTAATATTAATGCATGTGGTATATTTTTTTCTAAAATAAATAAATTTTTATTCTTGAATGAATTAATTATTTAGAAATTATCGTCTTTTATAATTTAATTATTGCCTTATGTGTTCATTTACATTTTTAAATTTTTTCAAAATATAGAAAGCTAATTTATTTATTTTATTTATTAAAGTCAAGCCAAAATTAAAACTTCTATAATATATAAAATTTTCTCGAGATTTATTTGAAATTAATTTCGCAATATAATAATAAATGTTCCTTTTTCCTTTATTATAATCTAATTTCCACACTTTATCGATACGAATTATTTGATAATTGATATTGAATTATTGATAAAATAGAATAATATGTAAAAATTTGCAAACACAATTATTAAAAATATTATATATATTACAAACAATATAGTGACTTGATTTTTAAAGTTTATCGGAGTTACAGATGTAATTTAACTAAAGTCTTTTGCGAAGAATATGATTGTCTAACCACAATTGCTCAATCGCCGCGACAATTTACTTATTGGTTCACAAGGTAACATTTATTGGCAGATTGCAACATTAGTTTTTAAACAACATTGCAAAGAAAGATTGAACTGCTGTAGAAGGATCTCCACAGTTTGTAGTACGTGATATTTATTTTCAATTAATCAATCAAATTTTACTATTTATTAAATAATACTACTGTTATATTACAATTGTAATTTTAATATTTATAAAAATCTATTAAAAATCTCATATAATATTAATCGCAGATATCAAAATTAAAAGTCATATTCGTCATAATCCTTGAATACATAGAATTTGTATTCTGAAAAATTTGTTAAAAATCGTCCTAAATAAATCTTTTTAGATAAAATGAAAAAAATGAAATCATTTTTTATGATAAAATTCTTTCATTGCGAAAAGAAAATTTAAAAAGGATGTTTGAATTAACAAAATTAGCAACTTTCATTATTAAATTGTGTACTAGTGGATTTTCGTTCACACGTAGTAATGCACTCAGTATACGACGAGTATAAAAATTGATTATAAATTTAGAGATTCATAAACACCAATAAGTTTAATGTGTTATGAATCTCATTAATATTATAATTGCCAATAGTAAATATTATCGTTATGTACCTACCATTATATTCAGGAAAATAGTCAACAAGATGAGAGTACATAATCTTCTCTTCGAGCAGATCTTTCTTGTTTAGGAACAGAATAACAGAGGACTGTTGAAACCAAGGATATGTAATAATTGTTTTGAACAATGCCTTACTTTCTTCCATTCGATTCTGAAATATAGTAATAACAATTTACAGCATTAATGGTATACTTATATGAATAAATTATAAAACAAGAAATAAATGTTGACACAAATATTTACCTCATTTTCCGACTCAAACAAAATTTGATCATATTCACTTAAAGCTACTAAAAAGATAATAGAAGTGACATTCTCGAAACAGTGAATCCACTTCCTTCTTTCTGATCTCTGTCCACCAACGTCTACCATCCTGTAAAATAAGATTATGTAATATCGTGCAACTTTCAATAAGCCTTAAATATTTGCTACATATTGATAAAAATAAAGTATAACCTACTATTTTACTCTCATCAATTATCAAATGAAATTAGTAAATCATTTTAAATTTCACAATTTCTAAAATTTAAATTGTTGATACGATTACTAGTTACATGTATATTATAATATTTACAAAATGATACTTGTCCGATATAAATTTCATGAAAAACATGCAAACAATAAGCTATTTGAAGCAAACGAAGGATACAAATTGAAAAGAAAAAGAAAAGAAAAAGAAACAGAAAGAATTGGTATAATATTTAATAAATAGCACAATCCCGTTCTTAAATAAGAAATTATCTATATTCACTCACCTTGTAAATATATTTTCAGATATAAATGATAAATACTACTACTGTTGTTATTAAAGATAATTCATTATTAAATTGTGGATTTTTATGCTGTTCCAAATTTTTGTGAGTATAGCTAAAGAAATGGAATCTAAATGGAAATTTACATTTGTGCATCTTTTAATTGCATGAAAAATCCACAACCTACTTATTATTATTCCGACCTTTCTATTTCAATTATGTCTCTATAATTTATACAGTATATTTCTATACACAATGATTATATACAGCAAAGTATTATTAACATTACAATGAATTACAATAATATTTATATGATTGGAAAAATTAGTGATAAATAAATGGCATTATGACAACTTACAAACAAAAAATATACAATACAGTAAAAACAAAATAAACGAAAAT